CTTGTCTGCAACTTTCAACTCGGAAATCACAAAAGCTAGAAAGGTGAAAATTTAGGGGAACGCGCCCCACCCACGTGTGACCCCGCGAATTTAAATTCAGCTTCCCCGTGCCCGCGGGTAACACGTAGTTTTTTACGGGTAAATTATTTTCTCGGGAATCACGGAGTCTAGGAGGCTGAAATTTTAGGGTAATGACCCCTTGCTCACGCTCAACCTTGCCCATTCAAATTCATTCTTCCCGCGCTCTTTAGTATCACCTACAGCCTCGTGGAAATTTTGGCGGATAAACTATTAACACGGGAGTCTCGGAAAGATATTCACCATTCAAGGTTTCGAATCCAGCTTTCATGCGTTGGTGCGTGAAATTTTTAACTATTGTTTGAACAATTTTTACATAGACTATAGTACAGCGCATTGAAAATCATTAATAGGCAATCGTTCGATGGGCTGAACTGCACAAAACGCATGATCGCACCTGCTAGTCTGGTGCGCCTTGCTATTTATTGCTTTAGATTCTAGTAGTTAGTTGTGCGTTGTGTTAGGATTATAGCTTTGGTGATGTTCAGTGACATGTCTCTGGAGAAGTCCGTGAAAATGGTACTAATTAGTCAGGTTATACCGCTAATGTTGGATCTAACTCCACTTTACGCCTGGTCTCATTTACGGCTAAGTTTTTGAGGAGCATGCTGTGCATTTTTTACTGCTACTGATTCCATGCGTGCTTTTTTCCTTTCTGTCGTGGATGAATTGATAAATGCTGGAAAAGTGTTTAAAAAAAAGACGAATAGAAATATTTGTCATCCGCTACGGACCTTCTAACATGTCCGTCACTTCTAATTTTCCAATATGAGCACTAAAAGGCCAAATATAAAAACTGGTTAAAAGTGGGTTGTTTTTGAGAGAGGAAAAGATAGAAAAAAGCGGTGAAAATCACTCGAAAAAGAAAAAAACCAGTACTTGTCGTTTATAATTTTTCTCATCTTTTTTAATTTTTGGTGTTTTTTAGATGACCAACATAGAGAGCGATACTGAAGCGCTTTCTATGGCTTTTCGGCAATTTTGGTTTCTCTTCGTTATTGCTGCGAAAAGCATGGCATTACGGTTACTGGATGTCGGTTTATACAAGGTTATCGACTGAATAAAGCAAAATTTGCTCGTCATTTTGATGATTTCAGGAAGAGCTTTCATGTGCTGATAGTATTTGCTTTGGTTTCTTTCCATCTTTTTTCATTCACTGCTAAAAAAGTAGGTATGTTTTAGGTGCCAAGAGGAAATCGTTTTTCACCGGAGTTGTTGTTTCGAATTGGTTCAATGATTGATAAAGTTGTATCGCTTATCATTGCAAAACATCGCGATCTCCCACAGGAATGTCGACATGCAAACTCTGCTCTCGCCTATTTTTTGAGGGTAATTTTTTTGCCTCTTTGAAATTTTTCGCAAAGAATAAGCAATTAATGTCAGAAAATCAAGGAGGAAGAAGGAAAAAGGCCGATTTTTGAATTTTCTGCCTTTATTTTGCCTGTTTAATGAGACATGGTGGCGAGATATCATTTTCATATTACTAAGGTTTGGGGGGAGAAGCTTAGTTTAGACTTTTCCGGTAAACTTTTTCAAGCGCAAGTTCATTGTTGCACAGTCAAAGATATTTCAGTACTGCCTGAGTTTTATGAATCGTGGTTCCGTGTTTTCCTGGATTCATTGCGCTGTGGAAAAAATGGATGAAAGTGATTCAAGGGTACGTCTGTTTTTATTAAAAAACAAATATTTTATATGAATTAAGAGATTGTTTGGGACCATTCTGCACGATTTTTTCAAAAATGTGCATTTTCGATAAATCAAAATCAGGAGGAAAAACTCCTCTCCGTAACGTGAGAGTCGAATGCACATGGAAATTTTGCTGAAGATACCGGAGACTCTTTTTTGCTGAAGCTTCCGGTGACTGGGCTTACTTTCGAGGTTTACTTAGAAGCAAGCTGATGGCGGC